TGGCACTGATGCACGCTGCGGTAGGGCACGCACCTAGGACCCCATATCGGTTGAGGATAAGTGCTCCGCCCTCGTCCCCACCTTCACCTTCTTCGGGCCGAGATCGCGTACCTGGGACTCCACGTTGGTCGAGGATAAGCGCTCCGGCCTCGTCCCCGCCTCCGCTTTCGCACCTGGGACCCCATATTGGTTGAGGATAAGCGCTCCGGCCTCGTACCTGCCGAGCACGCACCTGGGACCCCAGCTCCGGCCTCGTCCCCGCCTCCGCCTTCTTCGGGCTGAGACCACGCGCCTGGAACCCCCTATTGCGCCGGCCTGGTCCGCGAGAGCACGCACCTGGGACCCCATATTGGTTGAGGATAAGCGCTCCCGCCTCCGAGCACGCGCCTGGAACATATTGGTTGAGGAAAAGCGCTCCGGCCTCGTGGCCTTCTTCGGGCTGAGACCACGCACCTGGGACCCCATATTGGGTGAGGATAAGTGCTCCGGCCTCGTCCCTGCCTCCGCCTTCTTCGACTGAGACCACGCACCTGGGCCCCCACATTGGTTGAGGATAATCAGCGCTCACCTCCTCACTTCGGTCTTCTTGGGGTTGGGACCACGTACCTGGGACACCATGCAGGCGAGCCTGCACGGCGTCGTTCCCGCTCCCGGCCTTTTTCTTCTTGAGGATACGCACCTGGCACTCCACGCTGGTTGCGGTCTAAGTGAGCGGGTTTGGGAGGGGTGGGAGGGGCAGAGCGAGGGGGAGGGAAGGGAGCGGGGGAGGGAAGGGGGGGAGGGAGGGGGGGAACCCTCCGGAGGGGGCACCGGGTGGGGGGGGGGAGGGAGGGGGGGGAGGGGTGCGGGGGAAGGGGAACCCACACCCCATTTTAGTTGAGGATTGTTTTTTGGTGTCTGCCCACTACCCCCTGTGAGACTCGTGCCACCCCCCCGGAGGAGGCACCGGGTGGGGAGGAGGAGGGAAGGGGGGAGGGTGGGGGAGGGGGCCGGGGAGGGGTGGGAACCAACACCCCATTTTAGTTGAGGATTGTTTTTTGGTGTCTGCCCACTACCCCCGTGAGACTCGTGCCACCCCCCGGAGGAGGCACCGGGTGGGGAGGGGGAGGGAAGGGGGGGAGGGTGGGGGAGGGGGCCGGGGAGGGGTGGGAACCAACACCCCATTTCAGTTGAGGATTGTTTTTTGGTGTCTGCCCACTACCCTCCCGCCCCAGGAGGAGGGGGGAGGGCGCTCAGGGGGAGGGGGGGCGGGGGAAGACCCCACACCCCATTTTAGTTGAGGATTGTTCTCTCGGCCTTGTCGCTGAGACCACACACCTCGGCAACCACATTGGTTGAGGCTCAAGCTTCCATACCTTGGATTGTCCTTGCCTCTGTCTTCTTCGGCTTGAGCTTCCACCCCTCGGAACCCCATACCGGTTGAGGATAAGCCTTCCCGCCTTGTCTCTGCCTCTGTCTTCTTCGGCTGGAGCTTCCATACCCCGGAAACCCACATCGGTTGAGTATAAACCCTCCCGGCCTTATCCTTGCCTCTGTCTTCTTCGACTTGTGAGCTTCCACGCCTCGGAAACCCGTACTAGTTGAGGATAAACCCTCCCGGCCTTGTCGCTGCGCTTCTGCAGCCTGAGACCCCACGTCTTGGAAACCCATATTGGTTGATGATACACCCTCCCGGCCTTGTCCTTGCCCTTCTTCAGCTTGAGCTTCCACGCCTCGGAAACCCATACTGGTTGAGGATGAGCCCCCCCCCGGCCTTGTCCCTACCTGTGTCTTCTTCAGCTTGAACTTCCACTCCTCGGAACCCCATGTTGGTTGAGGATGGGCCCTCCCGGCCTTGTCCTTGCCTCGGAAACTTATATTGGTTGAGGATAAGCCCTCCCGGCCTCGTTCTTACCTCTGTCTTCTTCAGCTTGAGCTTCCTGGGGCCACGCACTTCGATCCCCGGCCTTGTCCTTGCCTCCGTCGTCTTTTTGCTGGGGTCACGCACCTCGGACCTCATATTGGTTGAGGCCTCGTCCTTTCTCTTTTCTCCAAGATGAAACCATGCACCTGGGACCCTATCTTGGTTGCGGATAGGCACTCCGGCCTCTCCTCGCCTCCGTCCTGTTCGAGTTGAGACCACGCACCTCGGACCCGATATTGGTTGAGGAGAAGTGCTCCGGCCTGGTTCCCGCCTCCATCCTCTTCAAGTTGAGACCGCACACCTGGGACCCCATATTGATTGAGGATAGGCACTCCGGCCTGGTCTCGGCTTCTGTTCTCTCCAGACCACGACCCTGGGAACCCATGACAGTTGAGGATAGGCGATCCGGCCTTGTCGCCGCCTCTGTCTTCTTCAGGTTGAGACCACGCGCCGAGAACGTATTCTGAGAGTACGTCCTTCGAGCTTGTTGTCGCCTCCTCTTGAAGCTCGCCTTCTTCTGGCTTCAAGCACCTGGCACTGATGCACGCTGCGGTAGGGCACGCACCTAGGACCCCATATCGGTTGAGGATAAGTGCTCCGCCCTCGTCCCCACCTGCACCTTCTTCGGGCCGAGATCGCGTACCTGGGACTCCACGTTGGTCGAGGATAAGCGCTCCGGCCTCGTCCCCGCCTCCGCTTTCGCACCTGGGACCCCATATTGGTTGAGGATAAGCGCTCCGGCCTCGTCCCTGCCGAGCACGCACCTGGGACCCCAGCCCCGGCCTCGTCCCCGCCTCCGCCTTCTTCGGGCTGAGACCACGCGCCTGGAACCCCATATTGCGCCGGCCTGGTCCGCGAGAGCACGCACCTGGGACCCCATATTGGTTGAGGATAAGCGCTCCCTCCTCCGAGCACGCGCCTGGAACATATTGGTTGAGGATAAGCGCTCCGGCCTCGTCGCCTTCTTCGGGCTGAGACCACGCACCTGGGACCCCATATTGGTTGAGGATGAGTGCTCCGGCCTCGTCCCTGCCTCCGCCTTCTTCGACTGAGACCACGCACCTGGAACCCCACATTGGTTGAGGGTAATCAGCGCTCACCTCCTCACTTCGGTCTCTTGGGGTTGGGACCACGTACCTGGGACACCATGCAGGCGAGCCTGCACGGCTTCGTTCCCGCTCCCGGCCTTCTTCTTCTTGAGGATACGCACCTGGCACTCCACGCTGGTTGCGGTCTAAGTGAGCGGGTTTGGGAGGGGAGGAGGGTGGGGAGCGGTGCGGGGTTCGGGGGAGGGAAGGGAGCGGGGGAGGGAAGGGGGGGAGGGAGGGGGGGGACCTTGCGGAGGGGGCACCGGGTGGGGGGGGGGAGGGAGGGGGGGGAGGGTGGGAGGGGTGCGGGGCAGCCCCACACCCCATTTTAGTTGAGGATTGTTTTTTGGTGTCTGCCCACTACCCCCCGTGAGACTCGTGCCACCCTCCGGAGGAGGCACCGGGTGGGGAGGGGGAGGGACGGGGGGAGGGTGGGGGAGGGGGGCGGGGAGGGGCGGGAACCAACGCCCCATTTTAGTTGAGGATTTTTTTTTGGTGTCTGCCCACTACCCTCCCGGCCCAGTAAGGGGGGGGGGGAGGGCGGGGGAGGGGGGGCCGGGGGGGAGACCCCGCACCCCATTGATTTCTGCCACTACCTTCCCTGAGAATTCGTGCCACCCTGCCACCTCTGGAAGGGAGGCCGTCAATAGGGCAGGGGAGGGAGAGGGAGGGGGAGGGGGAAGGTCGGCTAGCTCCTGAACTGCATACCTTCAGGTTCCTGTTTTGTTTGAGGAAAAGCTCTCCGGATAAGCCCTCTCAGCCTTGTCGCTGAGACCACACACCTCGGAAACCCACATTGGTTGAGGCTCAAGCTTCCATACCCTGGATTGTCCTTGCCTCTGTCTTCTTCGGCTTGAGCTCCCACACCTCGGAACCCCATACCGGTTGAGGATAAGCCTTCCCGCCTTGTCCCTGCCTCTGTCTTCTTCGGCTGGAGCTTCCACACCCCCGAAACCCACATCGGTTGAGGATAAGCTCTCCCGGCCTTGCCGTTGCCTCTGTCTTCTTCGACTTGTGAGCTTCCGCACCTCGGAAACCCACATCGGTTGAGGATAAGCTCTCCCGGCCTTGCCGTTGCCTCTGTCTTCTTCGACTTGTGAGCTTCCGCACCTCGGAAACCCATACTGGTTGAGTATAAATCCTCCCGGCCTTGTCCTTGCCTCTGTCTTCTTCGACTTGTGAGCTTCCACACCTCGGAAACCCATACTAGTTGAGGATAAACCCTCCCGGCCTTGTAATTGCGCTTCTGCAGCTTGAGACCCCACGTCTTGAAAACCCATATTGGTTGATGATAAACCCTCCCGGCCTTGTCCTTGCCCTTCTTCATCTTGAGCTTCCACGCCTCGGAAACTTATATTGGTTGAGGATAAGCCCTCCCGGCCTCGTTCTTGCCTCTGTCTTCTTCAGCTTGAGCTTCCTGGGGCCACGCACTTCGAACCCCGGCCTTGTCCTTGCCTCCGTCGTCTTTTTGCTGGGGTCACGCACCTCGGGCCTCATATTGGTTGAGGCCTCGTCCTTTCTCTTTTCTCCAAGATGAAACCATGCACCTGGGACCCTATCTTGGTTGAGGATAGGCACTCCGGCCTCTCCTCGCCTCCGTCCTGTTCGAGTTGAGACCACGCACCTCAGACCCGGTGTTGGTTGAGGAGAAGTGCTCCGGCCTGGTTCCCGCCTCCATCCTCTTCAAGTTGAGACCGCGCACCTGGGACCCCATATTGATTGAGGATAGGCACTCCGGCCTGGTCTCGGCTTCTGTTCTCTCCAGACCACGAACCTGGGAACCCAGGACAGTTGAGGATAGGCGATCCGGCCTTGTCGCCGCCTCTGTCTTCTTCAGGTTGAGACCACGCGCCGAGAACGTATTCTGAGAGTAAGTCCTTCGAGCTTGTTGTCGCCTCCGCTTGAAGCTCGCCTTCTTCTGGCTTCAAGCACCTGGCACTGATGCACGCTGCGGTAGGGCACGCACCTAGGACCCCATATCGGTTGAGGATAAGTGCTCCGCCCTCGTCCCCACCTTCACCTTCTTCGGGCCGAGATCGCGTACCTGGGACTCCACGTTGGTCGAGGATAAGCGCTCCGGCCTCGTCCCCGCCTCCGCTTTCGCACCTGGGACCCCATATTGGTTGAGGATAAGCGCTCCGGCCTCGTCCCTGCCGAGCACGCACCTGGGACCCCAGCTCCGCCTCGTCCCCGCCTCCGCCTTCTTCGGGCTGAGACCACGCGCCTGGAACCCCATATTGCGCCGGCCTGGTCCGCGAGAGCACGCACCTGGGACCCCATATTGGTTGAGGATGAGCACGCGCCTGGAACTTTTTGGTTGAGGAAAAGCGCTCCGGCCTCGTCGCCTTCTTCGGGCTGAGACCACGCACCTGGGACCCCATATTGGGTGAGGATAAGTGCTCCGGCCTCGTCCCTGCCTCCGCCTTCTTCGACTGAGACCACGCACCTGGGACCCCACATTGGTTGAGGATAATCAGCGCTCACCTCCTCACTTCGGTCTTCTTGGGGTTGGGACCACGTACCTGGGACACCATGCAGGCGAGCCTGCACGGCTTCGTTCCCGCTCCCGGCCTTCTTCTTCTTGAGGATACGCACCTGGCACTCCACGCTGGTTGCGGTCTAAGTGAGCGGGTTGGGAGGGGAGGGGGGTGGGAAGGGGGTGGGAGGGGCAGAGCGGATGGAGGGAAGGGGGGGACCTCCGGAGGGGGCACCGGGTGGGGGGGGGAGGGAGGGGGGGGAGGGTGGGGAGGGGTGCGGGGGGAACCCCACACCCCATTTTAGTTGAGGATTGTTTTTTGGTGTCTGCCCACTACCCCCCGTGAGACTCGTGCCACCCTCCGGAGGAGGCACCGGGTGGGGAGGGGGAGGGAGGGGGGGAGGGGGAGGGGGGGCGGGGGGAAGACCCCGCACCCCATTGATTTCTGCCACTACCTTCCCTGAGCTGCCAACTGTGGAAGGGGCGGAAAAGGCCGTCAATAGGGCATGGGAGGGGGAGGGAGGGGGAGGGGGAAGGTCGGCTAGCTCCTGAACTGCATACCTTCAGGTTCCTGTTTTGTTTGAGGAAAAGCTCTCCGGATAAGCCCTCTCAGCCTTGTCGCTGAGACCACATTTCAATTTCTCAAAGTAGGAGCTGCACTGTCACGGTATACAATTTCTATTTATCCTGTATTGAGGGTTTAGGGTTTAGGGTTTAGGGTTTAGGGTTTAGGGTTTAGGGTTTAGGGTTTAGGGTTTAGGGTTTTGGGTTTTGGGTTTTGGGTTTTGGGTTTAGGGTTTAGGGTTTAGGGTTTAGGGTTTAGGGTTTAGGGTTTAGGGTTTAGGGTTTAGGGTTTAGGGTTTATAGAAATTGTTAAGGGTTTGGGTGCCAATAACGTTTTGACCGAAAGTTTTGACCGAAAGTTTTGACAAGAGTTTTGATTTTGGAACCATGTTTTGAAATTTGCCTGGGGGGGGGGGCTGGGCCTGAGGGCCTGGATTTGGGACTGGGCCTGGATTTGGGGTCTGGAGTTTGGATTTGGAGCTTGGATTTGGAACTGGACCTGGATTTGGGTCTGGAACCTGGATTTGGGGCCGGTGCCTTGATTTGGGGGTGTGGAACCTGGATTTGAGGCCTTGGGCCTGGATTTGGGACTGGGCCTGGATTTGGGGTCTGGGGCCTGGATTTGGGGTCTGGGGGCTGGGCCTGATTTGGGGCCTGGGGCCTGGATTTGGGACTGGGCCTGGATTTGGGGCTGGATTTTGAAGCTTGGATTTGGGGTGGGCCTGGGGGCCTGGTGTCTGGGGCCTGGGCTTGGAGGGCCTGGGCCTATTCTGGATTTGGGGTTTGGGGACTTGGATTTGGTGGATTTTGGGCCTTGGGACCTGGATCTGGGTCTGGGAAGGTGTGCCTGGATTTGGGGGCTGGGCCTGGATTTGGGTCTGGGACCTGGATTTGGGGTTTGGGGCTTGGATTTGGGTTTTGTGCCTTCTTTGGGCTTGGATTTGGCGTCTGGGCCTTGGGGCCTGGATTTGGGGTCTGGGAAGGTGGGCCTGGGTTGGAGGTTATGGAGAAATTGGTTTATCAAGAAGCTTGTTCAATTTTAAGCGGCGTGTTGGGCCGTAATGGTGGTTACAAGTTTGTGGAGAAATAGGTTTATCAAGAAGCTTACTCAATTTTCATTCGGTGTGTTGGGCCGGCTGGGCTGGGCTGGGCTGGACCGGTTTGGCTTGGCTGGCTGGGCTGGCTGGGCTGAGTTGGTCGTGGTTGTGCGAAATTGGTTTATCAAGAAGCTTGTTCCGTTTTTGACCGGGCGGTTGTTTTGAGTTGGCTGGGCTGAATTAATGGTTCGGTTTCTGTTGGGCGGCTGATTTGAAATTGGCGGGGCTGAGTTATTGGTTTGAGGTTGTGGTTGTCGGCGCGAAACGGATCATACTGCGACAATTGGATATCAAGAAATAGCGCCAGTGTAACCGAAATGCTGGGCCCCTAGCGGTGGTGTAACCATGGTCAAAGCAATTTTCTTTATCCACTTCTTGAGGGTTTAGGGTTGGGTTTGGGTTTAGGGTTTTAGGGTTTAGGGTTTTTTTAGGGTTTAGGGTTTTAGGGTTAGGGTTTAGGGTTTAGGGGTTTAGGGTTTCGGGTTTAGGGTTAGGGGTTTTTTTGTTCTTTATTTAGGTTAGGGTTTCGGGTTTTGGTTTTTTTTAGGGTTTAGGGTTTAGGGTTTAGGGTTTAGGGTTTAGGGTTTATAGAAATTGTTAAGGGTTTGGGTGCCAATAACGTTTTGACCGAAAGTTTTGACCGAAAGTTTTGACAAGAGTTTTGATTTTGGAACCATGTTTTGAAATTTGCCTGGGGGGGGGGGCTGGGCCTGGGGCCTGGATTTGGGACTGGGCCTGGATTTGGGGTCTTGGATTTGGAGCTTGGATTTGGAACTGGACCTGGATTTGGGTCTGGAACCTGGATTTGGGGCCGGTGCCTGGATTTGGGGTGTGGAACCTGGATTTGAGGCCTTGGGCCTGGATTTGGGACTGGGCCTGGATTTGGGGTCTGGGGCCTGGATTTGGGGTCTGGCCTGGGCCTGGAGCCTGATTTGGGGCCTGGGGCCTGGATTTGGGACTGGGCCTGGATTTGGGGCTGGATTTTGAAGCTTGGATTTGGGGTGGGCCTGGGGGCCTGGGGTCTGGGGCCTGGGCTTGGAGGGCCTGGGCCTGGATTCTGGATTTGGGGTTTGGGGACTTGGATTTGGTGGATTTTGGGCCTTGGGACCTGGATCTGGGTCTGGGAAGGTGTGCCTGGATTTGGGGGCTGGGCCTGGATTTGGGTTTGGGACTTGGATTTGGGGTTTGGGGCTTGGATTTGGGGTTTTGTGCCTTTTTTGGGCTTGGATTTGGCGTCTGGGCCTTGGGGCCTGGATTTGGGGTCTGGGAAGGTGGGCCTGGGTTGGAGGTTATGGAGAAATTGGTTTATCAAGAAGCTTGTTCAATTTTAAGCGGCGTGTTGGGCCGTAATGGTGGTTACAAGTTTGTGGAGAAATAGGTTTATCAAGAAGCTTACTCAATTTTCAATCGGTGTGTTGGGCCGGCTGGGCTGGGCTGGGCTGGACCGGTTTGGCTTGGCTGGCTGGGCTGGCTGGGCTGAGTTGGTCGTGGTTGTGCGAAATTGGTTTATCAAGAAGCTTGTTCCGTTTTTGACCGGGCGGTTGTTTTGAGTTGGCTGGGCTGAATTAATGGTTGAGGTTGTGGTGGCTGATTTGAATTGGCTGGGCTGAGTTAATGGTTGAGGTTGTGGTTGTGCGAAATTGGATTATCAAGAAACTAGCGCCAGTTTAAACCGAAATGCTGGGCCCTAGCGGTGGTTGTAAACAAGGACAAGCAATTTCTATTTATCACTTTCTTGAGGGTTTAGGGTTTAGGGTTTAGGGTTTAGGGTTTAGGGTTTAGGGTTTATAGAAATTGTATAGGGTTTGGGTCCGGGGTTTTGAGCGGGTTTTGGGCGGGTTTTGAGCGGGTTTTGAGCGGGTTTTGAACGAAAGTTTCGTTTTTTACTTTGGTGTTTTCATTTTGGGAGTGGGCTGGGCTCGGGTGGGCTGGCTGGGGCCGGGACCTGAGTCCGGGGTTTGAGCGACAGTTTTGCTTTGGTGTTTTGATTTTGGGAGTGGGCTGGCCTGGGGTCGGGCCTGGCTGGGGTCGGGGCCGGATTGGGCTGGAGTCCGGGGTTTTGAACGAAAGTTTTGACCGGGCTTGCTTCTTTGCTTTGGTGTTTTGATTTTGGAACTTTGAGCGACAGTTTTGGCAGGGTTTAAGTTGTTGCTCTGCAAGTTTGAATCTGGTGGGTTTTGGGCTGGGCTGAGCTGGGTGGGCTGGGCTACGAGGCTGGACTAGCCACTTGGGCGTGGCTTGGCTGGGGGCTTCACCTTGCATTGACCCTTCGTCTTTCTGGCGCCAAGGAGCCGGAACCAGGCAGCTTGGGAACAGAGACCAACACCTGCAAGCAGGATAGAACATGTGGTGTCCATGCAACAGGGAAATCAATGCCTGCAAGCAGGACAGAACGTTTGGTGTCCATGCGACAGGGAAGGCTTAGTAGGTAACTGTTGTCTATCTGCAGTCACGGAGCTGACTCGAAACCAGCACACGATAAAGACCCACCGGGAATCAAGATGTTGAGCCCATGGCGGGGACGGCAGCGTTGATGCTGTGAGTGCACTGCAAAACGGTCCCTGTGTCGCCGCAGTTTCGGACATGCTTCACATGTGACAGACAAGCCCTGGCAACGCACTACTCTCTTTTTGCTGGTCGCGGTCTGCGCCTGTACTACGTTGCTGCCGCCTTGTGCTGGCGCAGCCTCAGAAGCCGCGCTGGCCTTTCAAATGTGCCTCAGTGCGTAGGTCGGGTGCACCACAAGAAGGGCGTCCAGTTCTCCATCGCTAAGCTCCTGCGGCTGCTCCTGCATGGAATCCAGGTAGAGGAAGCAGTGCTCTAGAGGCCTCACAGCCACCCAGTGCCGACCTTCAAGGTTCACCACCGCGCCAATGCAGCCGTGCAGGTCTCCGGCGGTCGTGGCACGCTGGATGTCCATCTGCCAACGTAGTTGTCCGAACTCTTCCATCGCCTTGGTTCTCAGGACCATGCTCATGATTTCGATCGAATAGTCCCCCTGAGCTTCTAGATGGTCCTGCATGTTGTCGCCAAGCTCGAAATTCTCGTCCAGAAAGGCTTTGGCAGCTCGGGGCATGTCGACCGCGTCAATGCAATGAGCCCCGAGGGCATTGTTCAAAGCGTGGAGGCCGCAGCGGAGCGCTTCCTGACGCTCGAAGAATCGCGGTTCCCGACCTGCCGCCTCTGACCCAGGCTGTTCTCGACCGTACATTTTGGCCACTTTGGCAGCTGGCGCAGTTGCCGGGGAGCTGTCCGTGGCTGGTCTCTTGGATGCAATGGTGGCTGCGAGCATGAGTCTGGGTTTTGCGTTGGTGCTCTTGCCTTTGGCTTGGGTCTTGGCTGTGGCTTGGTTCTGGCCTTTGGCTTTGGCTGTGCCCTTGGCTTTGGCTTTAGCCTT